ACAATAATTCAATTCTCTCAATAACTTCTATTATTATAGAATTAGAAGTGACAAATTGACAATTGATTTAAATGACGTTTAGTTTTCTAAAAAGTTTCGCGTTCCGTTATCTGCAGACTTCTAAAACTTTCCATTCACATCAAAAACTTGTTACCTCTTTTTTTAAATACAGTCAGTTACGGTCTCGGCTATGTACACAACTTATTTTATTAATGTTATAAAATTAGTAGACTTGAGCATCACTGTTTTCAGCTTACTTTCCTTTTATCTTTTTTGGTCAGGTTAGATCAGTTCAGCCGTACAATGTTGCACGTTGCATATTTAAATGTTTACAAGCACCTCGTTTCTGACCTCCGTATATAAATTGCGTTATTTTCTATGATAAAGCACCATAAAAAGTTTTGTACCTTGCTGTAATAAGTTTAACAGACAGCTGATGTTGGAAACAGGCGCCCTAATTTGAATATTTTGTTACCTACATATTTTTTAGCCTTCCATTTACCAATGAAAAGTCTATTTTAAACTCAAATTTTAGTAATAAAAACATTATCCTGCAGGACTGCTGGCGGGAATGGGGTAGTGATTTAAGTTTTGTAATAAAAACAACAAATAGATTTAATGTTAACTTTATTACACCTTCTAATATAACTTCTAACTAATCTCCAGGAGTTTCCACTGCCCGAACACTTGTACAAAACAAAACTTATCTATTCTTGTTAAAAAGAATGAGAGAGACGAACATGTTATGTTTGTGTAGTGCTTCTCTTACTACATATACAGCTTATTCTTTAAAATATAGGTAATTACCTTTAATCTGCTATTTATATGAATATATTATGTCCCTTAATTTAAGTACATACTTAAAAATATAACTGAATATGTCAGAAAATAAAGCAAAAAAATAATTACATTCCTTTCTTTGGTTTATTACACTAGTGTATCCTTCTATTTTTCGTCGATAATAAATGCATTATTTTACAATTCTTATTTTAAACTTCTTATTTTAAAATTAATACAAGCAAATCTATGCAATAAATACTTACCTTAAAAAAATTATACAAATTTTTAACTATAAAACTAACATTTGTTAACTTAAAGTATTAATTCGTACAAGTTACACAACCGTTAAAAGAATATGTTTTTAAAAAACATTGTTTTTATAGGCAAATGTCATTGTAGTCATGCAGCCAACGAAATGTCAAAATGTACAATAAAAAGTTTTAATACCATCGTGTTGTACCGACTCTGTTGTCAGGTGGGTCTCTCGCGCAACAATATGAAGCTAAAACTCCTATTGTAGCGAGACATAATGAGAGAATACTGATACTACATACAGCTCCTGAGGTAATATCGTTGAGGGCTGTACCAGGCAGTGGTTGTACAGATAATAAAATTAAAAGTCCGAAAGCACTGAGTAGAGAGAATGAAGACAGTACTATGTAACCTGAAAATAAAAAAAATAATAATAAAATGTAACAAATCGCAAATTTTACATTATTATCTAAGTACATTAGTATCTGTGTAATAAAAAAGTTGCGGTTGAAACGTATGCGGGCAAGTCTTCCCGCCATTTTATTTTTATCGGTCATAAAATGATTTCCCACAGTGCATCTGACTGTAATCTTTTTTTACTTACCAGATATATAATTTCTGTTGGGTAGCAACTGATTCCTGCGAGACCTCAAGCCGAGCATTCCCAGCAGGAAACACGTGAAGCCAGACAGGACTCCGAAATCTAGGTAGTAGCGGCGACCCATCTGAAAACATGATATTTTCAAAGATTTAAAAAACTGTTAGTTAAAAACGACAATGGCGCAACAGTTGTGCTATAGTTTAGTCAAAAGTGTGCGCTCGTTCTTAGTGTCTATGTACTTTTGAGTTCGTCCGTAATAGAAATAACGTTATACTTACGGTATACATCATATAGAAGCTAAGTCCGGTAGTCAAGCCGCCACATAACGTCAGCATTAAAGCAGCAATGGTAAGCGATGCAAACGAACTGTTTACCGATTTCAGCGTTGACAGCGATTTGTATGTGTCCTCTGAGTACACTGATGGGCTTTGTGGTGCCACCCTGCGTGATAAAATGGTAATAAAATTAAAAAGATGAATTCGGGTAACTAACACAGCTGTGTGTTTTGTGTGTATGGTAGTTTTTTAGTTTATTAGTTCATATAAACCATTACACCTGTTAAGCCATCTGCGGCTAATTAATCGACAAGGTGCGCGTGCGCATCTAAGTGAATACTAGCTTTCACGCGCGATGCCGTTCGTTGGAATTAAAAAAACAAAAGAAAGTAGCCTGTGTTCTTTCAGACTATCTTCAATATCTATAACAAATTTCATCGAGATCTGATTAGCAGCTGAGGCCACAAATATTAACAGACATCCATCTAAATTTTTGCATTTATATAACACACCAGCAAGATAAGATTTATATCGGTAAAAGAGAACAGCATTTTAAAAATAAAAACTATATACTAAAGATATTAACACATACCTGGGCATGATAATCGCGGTAGTTTTATCTCTTCTCTGACTATCTCTTCCTCTGTTGTCGTAGTTTCTTCTGCTCTCTCTACTAGCTTCTCGTCTGTCGATATCGAAACTCCTCTCGCGACTCTTATCTCTAAAACTAGTAACGAACACGTCCTGTCTTTCGAATTCTTCAGGTAAACCGTAGTTTAATTTCTGTTGAACTTTCGGCGAAATGGGTGATGTCCCACTTCTCATGATAGATAAATTAGCACACGACTTGGAAGGTGTAACTCCTTGTGTCGGTGTGCTAGATATGAACTTCTTCGGTGTGTCGACGTATACGTTAGGACTAGTTTGTTTGTTCGGTGTTATTCTCACGGACGGTTGACTCGCGTAGCTCTTCAACTTTCTTGGCGTCGACAGCAGTTCGTGT